CAAGGCTTGGTCTGCCTTAGAAACTAAATCTGTGAACAATTGTAAGCAATCTTGAAAATATGTACCATCACCCAGAGAGAATTTTTAGTGTTTGCAGGAGTTGATGGATTTGTTCGCTGCATCTAATACTTCACTGCTACTAGTATTAGTAATATTACTCTAGAAAATGTTCTTTTTGTGCTTTTTTTCCCCTAATTAATCTGATTGTACTGACAGCAGCAGGATTTGAGCTCAGATGTCTAGTTTTAGCTGAGAAGGAAAACAGCAGAGGAAATCTATTTTGGAAAAACAGTGTGTTTGAAAAGGAGAAGGATGAGTTTGGTTCCAATTACTACTATCTGTTGCAATGAAACATATGCAATATGTTATTCTACCGATAATTCTAGTATTACCCATTTCTTTGTAGTAGTTTTTAGCTTGATTTCTCCTGGTGAACTGATTCATAAAACTGTAAAAAGGCACTTTTTTCCCCAGTACATGTGAGTGATGTTTATGTGGTACTCTTTTAGTTGTGATTTTCTGAGAGCCAACCAAAATTTTTAACCTGTGTAAAACATACATGTGTGTGCATATGTCTCTCTGCAAGTCAAATTGCCACAGAGGAAATGCCCTTTTCGCAGTTAAGATTTTGTGGAATATTAAATTACTAGCTTCCAAAATACAGTTAGGAACATTTATAGGTTAAATGTCAGACATTTCTGCTGACAAGCTAGAGACAGTCATCTGTATTGCTTTGATGTTGGTACTAAAAACACATTATTCATCTCATATCAGCCACTGCTAGCAGCTGTAATTTTGGTTGCAATTATTTCTACCTTGAATTTGACCAGTTGGGCTTATGATCCTCCTGTGAATCCCATTCAGATTGTTTCTGCTTCTGGTGTTGTGCTGGATTCAGCCATCACTAAGCTCTCAAAATAGTCACAGTTCTGACTGAGTACCATCCTTAGCATGGTGGTCTTCTACTGTGTTAAATTGTATCCAGAAAGTACACCTTCTGCATAAAACTCCAAGTATAGTCATGAGAAATCTTATTTAGTCATAATAATTGAATTGAGGTGCTGTTCAATTTTACTTTGTTAAGAAAAAAAAAAAAAAATCCTGTAGCAAAGCCAATACATTCATCTCTTGCCCTTTCTTTTCATATAACTGAACACTATTTTCAGCAAGCTTTCCATAGAGAAAATGTCTTTGGTTTGGTTATTGGCTGACTTCTTCAGCCTTTGTGTGTTTCATAGTCTTTAAGTTTTTAAAAGACAGAAGATAAGATTTTGGGGAAGTAGTAATACAGGACTGTGGACTGACTTAATGGGTTTTCTATATCACTAGGTGGAATCCAGTCCTTGTATCCTTGCATGGATACAGGAAATTTCTTTTGCTTCAATGGCTCTTCCAATTTGGAATGAAATAATAATTTTGAAAGGTTGAGATCTTTCTGCTCTATATCTTGAGATATGTGGTAACCAGGTATAATAGTTATTTTACTAAAGCTATGGAGTTTTTTTTTTTTTTTTTTTTTACTGGAGGTTCTTATGAACGGAATAATTTTTAAGTGACTAATTTAATTTTACTTTAAAAAATTATTTCAAAATCTCATTTTAGAAAACTATAATTTAATTTTAACAGCTTCAGTTTTAGTTGAAAATAAAAACCCTGGGTCACTTCTTGATTCTTCCTTATATGAGATGTTTAAAATAGCTTTATTTATTTCTTCTGTTGACTTTTAATTATAGTGGGTGAGCAGCTTTAATATATTTAATTCCAGTGAAAAACAGAAACTCATTGAAGCTTTGGTTTGTTTTCAAACTATTTCTATGTTATATTGTCCATATATATTTCTAACCTTTAAACTTTTTTTAATGCTCATCCCTATTTCATACATTTATCACCTTTTGTAGTAACACAGTCCTTTAATTTCTCTTGGACAGTATGTACAGAATAATGCGAATATTCTGAGTTGCAAGGGGACCAAAAAAGGATCATAAAATCCAGCTTTCTACACAGAATGCCCCAAGAGTCACACTTTGTGTCTGAGGACATTGTCTAAATAAACCTTGAGCTCAGTCAGGCTTGGTGCTGTGATCACTTCCCTGGGAAACCTGCTCCAGTGCCCAACCACCCTCTGGTAGCTGACATATACAGACAGAATTTGTCAAATACATTTGGCATATTAGTCAGCCTTTGTCTTACTTCAAAAACTAATAATAATTTGGTTTGAACTGATGTCAGTAGTCACAGTGATAGACTGACAGCTAGTCTCTACTTCTCTGGAGAGAGGTCACAAGTCCTGCCTGCAAACTGCTTCTGCAGTATCCATTCTCCACATGCTTACAGGTCCTGCAAAGACCCTGCTCCAGCATGGACTTTCGGTGGTGTCACAGCCTCCTTTGGGCTTCCAGCCTCCTTTGAGGTCTTCCACAGGCTCCTCTGTGGGATGCAGGCACACAGCTGTCCTGCCATGGCCTTCACCTCGGGCTACAGAGGAATTCCAGCTCTGGTACCTGGACCACCTTGTCCCACTCCTGCACTGACCTTGGTGTCTGCAGGGCCGTTGCTCTCATAATCTCACTCCTCTCTCCTGGCTGCTGTTGCACAGTAATTTTTTTCCCTTCCCTAAAACTGCTGTCGCAGAGGTGCCACCACCATCACTGATGGGCTCACGTCTGATCAGCAATGGATCTGTCATGGAGTGCTCTGTCTGGAACTGGCTCCATCAGACACAGCAGAAACTTCTAGCATCTTCTCTCAGAAGCCAACTTTTTTACTCTCCCACTACCAAAACCTTGCCTTGCTAATCACTGCAATACATTACCAGTGCACAATTTAGCTGTCATGTCTACCAAATACGTAAATCTTTAAAAAATATACTGATACTTTGTGTTTCTGTTACGGAAATTCTGAAATGCAGAAATTTGTAGACTTTACTGTGTCATGCCTTTTCACAATAGCTATTTCCTTTCATTGTCAGGCTTTTGTCTGATTTTAGTGGGTCTCTCTGAGAATAAACTTTGCATTTGGGAATATGCAAAATAAAAAGCTTCTGATGAGTTTCACGATAGAGACACTTCTGGTTTTACCTTTCTGCAGCCTTTTCTCACTGCTTCACTCAAGTCTAACAGTCACAGTGAGAGAAAATGGTAGGCAGTTGAGGTTGTTCTTACATGCTGCTGTCCTCCACAGTGTCACCACCCAATTGCTTGGAGAGTAGAAGTGAGAAAACCCTTGGGTTGAGATCAAGACAGTTTAGTAGAGAAGGGCAAAAGCTGTGCATGCAAGCAGAGCAAAACAAGGAATTAATCCACCATTTTACATGAGCAGGCCAGCCATCTGTAGGAGATCAGGGCCTTATCATGGGTAACACTGACCTGGGAAGACACAAACTTCATTACTCCAAACACCCTCCCTTTTCTTTCCTTCAGCTTTCTATGCAGATTATTATGTCATCTGCTGTGGAATATCTCATTGAGTTAGTTGGGATCATCTGTCCTGGCTCTCCCAACTCCTTTTGCACCCCAAGCCTGCTCACAGGGGGGAGGTGTAAGGAGCAGAAGATTTTTTAGCTCTATGTAAGCCCTGTTTAGCAGTAATGAAAACATCCCTGAATGATCAACTCTGTTTCCAGCACAAGTCCCAATCCCAGCCCCATATTATCTGCTGTGAAGAAAATTAACCACCCCAGCCAAAACTGGAACATTCACTTAATGAGAAAATGATGCTGATAGTGCTTCGGTAACTTGGTGAGAAACAAAAATTTGCTTTTCCATCTATTTCAGCATATTATGGGAGTTTTGCCTACTGTTTCTCTTTGTAATAGCTTCTCAAGAACAGGTGTATTAAGGTCAGCTTTGTGCTTAGATAGTGTATTATTAGGGAGATAAATTACTGAGGTTTTGTTTTGTCTGACACTTACAGAAAAGCTTTCTTTTTTCAGATCCCATATCTAGGTAATTTTAAATGCATGTGAAATTTTCACGCAGTGATTTTATTTAGGCCTACACAGCTGATTTAATTATTCATAAGCATATGTCTTGGTAGTTGTCATAAGAATAAATTTGGTTTGTGTCTTTTTTTTCCTTAAGGTGTTTCCTTTGTTAGATGCAAGTACTGGAGGGTTTAATTTTCTTCTACAGTAATACTTAATCCTTATGTAGTCCCACATTATTTAAAAATGCATTGTGCTTTTGTTTTTCAGCTTCCTGTAAAATAACTTCCTTTTCTACTTTTACTTCTGTCTCACTTGTCTGTAGTGATAACACACACCTTCATTGTAGTTAAGATTGGCAATGAGGGGTTTGTTATCGTTGATCTTCTGATTGTTGAAGCTTCAGTTTATTCAGATCTAATAACTGACTTTTCCAGACAAATTTCTTGCTTTGCAAGAGAATTTGCTCTTCTTTTCCTCTTGCAGTAAGAAAATGGTTAATGCCCCTGATAATTAGTGCACGTGATATAATTCAGATGTACAGTTCTGGGGGATGTGCACTCAGAGCCTGAGGGGTGATAAACCATTAATCTGTAAAGCACTGGCTGCATTGTGTGTCAGTCTGCTTGTAAGCAGAGATAAGGTGTGATAGGACTTTGTTGTCTGTTCACAGCAGGAATCTCAGTTCTTTTCTGCCATCTTGGGCAGAGTAACAGGAGTTGCAGTGGGTAAAGGTCTCATCCTTTTGTGAAGACACATCATTAACACAGCTATGGTTGCAAGGTCATGAGGGTGTTCAACAGCTTAGGTCTTAGGTATTGAACTTCTGGAGGGACTGAGTGATGCTGAATCAAGTATTTTTTACTTCTACTTCACATAGCATTTAGCTATTCTCCCAGAAAATTGGAATGTTGCTTTACAATACGCTGAGTAGAGGTGGTAAATTGTATTTATCTTCTAAGATTAAGTTATAAAACACTTTGCTGTTCAAGTTAAATGCTTCAGTATTGTAGCAACTATATGAAAACTCTTCTGTGTGATTTTGGCTCTCTAAATACAACAAATTTTTCTTAATTAGGTCTTTACTAATGTGCTGACTCACCCAAAATGTCCATAAGAGAATAATGGAAGCTCCTGAATACCTTGATTTGGATGAAATAGATTTTAGTGATGACATATCGGTAAGTACAAGTCTTATTTTATTTGTTCAAGTTGAGATGACCTTAGATGTCTCAGTCATTATGTAAAAAGCAACACTCCTGTTAGAAGCCAAACTTCCTTTTACTTAATTTAAGGGAATACGATGAATCAAGAAAAAAAATCTGATGTTTTGTAAAGGCAAGACCTCTAAAAAGCTTGGAATGAAAACTCGATTCCTCTCCTTCAAGTAGTAAAAATTACTTGTAGACAAAATTAATAAATTAATTTCATTTCTGGGTTGCTTCTCTCCTGTATTGTCCCAAATGAGCTGTGCTGTAGTGCTAGCCTTAGACAGCATTTTTTTAAATCAAATGTATTTCAGTTGTAGGAAACCTGCCTCTCTCACCTTTGCCTTTTTCATGAATAGCCATTTCCCAATACAGCTCCATTTTATCAATAGATGTGCTATGGTAGTGTACAGAAAGAGATAGAAAGATTTTGAGGGATTCATAGGCAGCAGTGATCCTTAGTGTGACAAATAAAACAGCCCTAATTGCAAATAAAAATACTGTGTTACTGTCTACATTTTTAGTGTTTTTATAGGTGATACTGGTACTGTGTACTTCTGTTACTCATAATACTACTTTTACTGCCAGTGTTTCTGCTTTTTTGTGCAATGAAGTTGTTCATGTGTTCAGTGTTTGATAAAAAATAGACTTGAATGCATAAATTAAATCTCCCATAAGAGAATGTATTATAAATTCTTATAAATTATAAATTAATAATTCAAGTTTCAGATTAAAGTATGCCACTCTCTCCTTCCACGTTTCATAGTTTTATAGTAATTTTTTTTTCCACAAATGCCTGGTTTTCCCATTAGCATTTGGGACTCCTGATTCCTTTTAAAACATTCCAGATGCTTTATTCACTGAAAAATCCATTTTGAAGAGATTTTTTTTTGTGTACCTATTGTACTGCTGAATTTTTATTAAATCAGAATATGGCAAATGCCCAAAATATTACAAGACAATGAGCCAATCTTGAGTGATTGCCTTATTAGGGGCAACTTTCTTATGTTACTGTTATATGCCAATTTATGTCCTGGTAAGTATAGAAACAGAGTTTCTATACTCAGTTTAGTAAAACTGTAAAACATAATAGATGTAACCTTTCCATGTCCCTCCCATTGTGGCTGTTTCTGCATACTGGTGGGTTAGATTACTCACTTTCCTGCTGAACAGCTCAGGCTGCCTTCTTTCATAGCCTGTTCTTGCAGTGGATGCTGCACTTTAAATGAAAAATCATCACAAATGATTGAGGTAGCAGTTTTACTCCCTGCTTTAACAAGTAAGAGAACAAAGGATTTGTTGCCAAAATCCAGATCAATGAGAGAATTTGTGGTTACTCTAGTGATCTACTCATATGTCATCATACACAGTTGAGAAATACTGGACCTTCACATTTTATCGTTAGCATGCTCTGGTAAGAGCAGCTGCATAGCATCTGTGTTAGCAAATTATATTATTCATATTAGCCCTCTGGTTCTAATCCAGTGCAGAAAAGTGACTAATAATAATGGCAACAAGAAAGCTGTTAAAACGATGCACTTACAAATGTACTTCATTTAGAAAGCCACTGTTTGTAGTCCAGACCCATGTCATCCATTTCAGCAAAACTGACCAAAATGTAATAATCAAAAAAGATAGACAGAAAGACAGGAATTTGATTTAAAAGGCAAATATATAAGTAAATAAGGGAAGGGGGTGGAGGGAGTGTGTTTGAGTTCTTACTTTATTTTCCTTTGTTTTGTTTGTTTTTATTTGGTTGTTTTTTTATTGGGTTTTTTTTGGATTTTTTGTTGGTTTGGTTTTTTTTGTTTTTGTGTTACATTTGTACATGAGGAAAGGGAAGTACATTTCTCCAACATCATGGAGTCCTAGAATGGTTTTGGTTGGAAGGGACCTTCGAAGGTCATTCAGTTCCAATCTCCCTGTCATAGGTGGGAATACCTTCCACTAGATCAGGTTGTTCGAAGGCTCATTGTGGTGGGTTGACATTGACTGGTCATCAGGTGCCCACCAAGCCACTCTGTCAATCCTACTCCAACAAGACACTTGTGCTTTAAGAAGAGGGACACCACTCATCACTTAGTGTAATAGGAAAAAAAGACTTCTCCTGGTGATACTAATTTATTGCCAATCAAAGAGCACAGGATGATGAGAAACAAAGACAAATCTAAAAGCACCTTTCCCCCACCCCTCCCTCTTTGCAGTCTCAACTTTACTCCTGAGTGGTTTCTGCCTTCTACCTCAGTAAGCACAGGGGGATGGGGGAGGATAGAGTTTGCATTCAGGTTAGGCACTAGTGTGAAAGGAAAGCAGTGGGAGATCCCAAGTCAGAAATACAACTTAATAGGAAAATTAAAATAAATGCATTAATACAGCAACACTGACAGACTCAGAATATGACCTGACACCCTGTTGGTCAGGGTGTTGGTAGCAGTCCGATTAAATGGTGGGTGCAGTCTTCTTGAAATGATAGATGTAGTTCTGTTGAAGCAGTGATCCTGTAGAAGGGCTTGATCTTCCTCCAAAGATCCAGTGGTGGTTATGGGACTCTTATCCTCTGGGAATTCAGTGGATAAAGCTGCCCATTGTGTTCCAAACTTCAGATCATATCCAGATAGGAATGCTTGGATCCTCCTCCTAGGTGGAGCATCTCACAATGGACGATGTAATTTTATCAGTCTTGCAGTGAGACTTGATGGCCCATTAACAGAAGATATCCCCTGGAGTTATCAGGGATGAGTCATGAAGTAGATAAGGAGTACTGCCCTAACTGGTTTTAACAGCTGATGAAGAAGGTGATAGAATGCATACTTTTGGGTACATCTTACATTGTATCCTAAGACAGGTTATCACAGAGTGTCTCTCCTGTTCCCTCCTCATCCTCTTCACGCCTGCACCAGTGTGGGGTCCCACTCACAGAAGGCTGTGAATTCACACTGTGAATTTCTCCATTTTGAGTTCTTCCCAAGGACCAGCATTCTTCATGGACTGTGCCAGCATGCATCCTTTCCATGAGATAGAATCCTTCAGAAGCAGATTGCTCCAGCATGGGTCTCACACAGGGTTATAGTTCCTGCCAGAAAACCTGCTCCAATGTGGTCTCTTCTCCACAAGAATTAGTTCCTACCAGGACTCTGTTCCAGCACTGTCTTTCCACAGGCTGCAGGTTTCTTCAGGGCACATTCACACACTCCAGTGTGAGGTCCTCTGTGGGCTGAAGGCTGGGTATCTGCTCTACCATGGTATTCTCATGTGACTACAGGTGAATGTCTGCTACAGCATCTGGAACTCTGCCTTCCCCTACTTCTTCACTGACCTTGGTATCTCACATTTTATTGTTCCTCTCTCCCAGATGCTTTTATGCAGTGGTTTTTACCCTTTCTGAAATCTGTTATCCCAGAGGTGCTACCAACATCTCTGATGGGCTCAGCCTTTGCCAGCAGAGAGTCCTACATGGAGGCAGCCTCTGCTCTTAGTTTGCCACATAAACTAAATACAATAATATGCGGTGGGCATCTACAACTTCTCTGGGCAACCTGTTGCAGTGTCTCACTACCCTCGTTGTAAAAAATGTCCTTGTTGTGTTCAATCTAAATTGATGCTTTTTCATTTGCCCCTTGTCCTGTCACTACAGGCCCTGGAAAACAGCATTTTTGTATTTTTCTCATAAGCCTCCTACATATATTGGAAGGCCATAAGAAAGTCTCCGGGCAGCCACCTGTTCTCCAAGATGAAGAATCCAAACTCTCTCTCAGCCTTACTTCACAGACGAGGTGGTCCAGGCCCCTGACTATTTTCATGATCTTTTTCTGGACACACTGAGCATGTCCATGTTGGTTTTGTCCCAGCAATCTCTGAGCCAGATGCAGTATTCCAGGTGGATTCTCCCAAGAATGAAGTCTGTGGGAGTATTGCCTCCCTTACTCTGCTGGCCAGACTTTTTGTGCAGCCCAGGATATGACTGACTTTCTGATCTGCAAGTGATCATTGCCAGTTTATGTCAAATTGTTCATCCTCCAGGATGCTGAGTCCTTCTCTGCAAGGCTGCCCTCAATATCTGAATCTGTATGGAAACTGGGCATTGCTCTGACACATGGACATAGGATCTTGACTTTGTTGAACTTTATGATGTGCACATGAGCCCACACCACAACCTGTCCCAAAGTCCCTCTGGATAGCATTCCATCCCTCCAGCAAATCAACCACTCAGCTTGGTGTCATGTGAAAACTTGCACCAAATCCTGTAATCTATGTCCTGGACAAATATACTAAATGCTATTGGTTGCAGTATGCATCCTTGAGGGACACCACTCATTGTTGGGTTTCACTTGGAGACTGAACTATTGATTGTAACTCATTTGACATGGCCAATTCCTTGTCCATCTATCCATCAAACCCATATGTCTCCCAATTAGAGGCAAGGAGGTTGTACTTGGATACTGTGTGCCAAAGGTCTTACAGAAGCTGAGGCTCTCTCTGTAGCTCTCTCCGTCCATTGTAGGAGGCCACTATCTTAGGCACAATTTTCCCTTTGTGACACCATGCTGGCTACCTCTAATCCCCTCTCTGCCATCCATATGTTTCAGCATAACTTCCAGGAGGATCTATTCCATGCACTTTCTGGGCACTGAGGCATATCTGACCTACTAGTAGTTCCTGGGGGCCTTCTTTTCTTCCTCGTTAAAAGAGAATGTGATATCATTTTTATCCAGTCGTTGGAGACTGACTGCTATGACTGTTAAAATATTATTGAGAGTGGATTAGCAGCTACATCTACCAACTCCATCAGGGTTCTGGAATGTAAATATGATGCTCATTTTATAAACTAAGATGGTTCCATTCCTGATCTAAATGATATAGTATATTTGACTGTAGTTCAGACAGCAGAATACGTTTCTGGGGCTCTTTTTTACATTAAACAAAAGTAATATTCTGTGTGCAGTAACATTAAGCAACCCAGCTGAATATTTTAATTTATTTCTTCATTAATAACTGCTCACAGAAAGGAAGGGGAGAAAAAAGACCTTTAGGTTGCATTAAATGATACAAAGATTATCAAATGTATGTTTTATCTTTTATCTTTTTGCTGTTTTTCCTGATTTTGACTCTAAGTTTATTCTTGCTCTCAAGTTATATGCTGTTGGTATGGTTACCTGAAGGTGTCCTAACCCTTTGATTGGAATGCAGTATTTATTTTGCATTGGCAAATTGAGGAAATTGAAATTATTTTATTATTTTGGTTTACAGAAATAGTACAAAATAACCTCATCATAACCAGAGATCCTCATGCTAAGATACTTGTAAACTGTTAGAGATTGAGTGTATAGATCATTGCTTGATCATTCTCTTAGCTCCATATGAAAGCCAGGTTCAGCGGTGCCAGTGTGAGACTGTGCCTGATTTAAAGGTTTGTGAAATGTAAGTGCAGTAATTGCATTCAAATCTAAATAAACAGCTGTTGAATCATTCAGGAATTTTGGAACAGCTTTAAACACTTCTTGTGAATCCTCGCCTGGCAAGAAGGAAGACATAAACTATGTGTGGTCAGGACTATGCCCAAGCTGCTAGGCCTCCCATTTACTCAACCCAGGGCCCTTCCTGAGCCTGCTGCACCCTTCCTTGGGCACAGGAAGAGCTGGATCACCCCTCAGGTTCACACACAGCCAGACTTCGTCTACTCTGCCACCAGCCCTGCCAGGCTCAGTGTGCAGGGTCCTACATCGCTGTGCAGGCACAATCATTAACTGCAGCAGATTGATTCATTTACCATACAGCTGAAGCTCTCTTTTACATCTCTCTCTTTTCTTCCTGTCTCCCATTTCAGAATGAAGCAAAATGCAGATGGCCACTGTGTTGTTCATAGGAAGTGTTAGTTTCAGACAGACATTTTGTACCCCTAACAGTGTTAGTAGTTTCTATATAGGTCCCCTTTTAAGCTAAAAAGAAGAAAAACATATCAAGTGTCTATATAAGATACACAACACATAGTACAAATAACCTAATCAGTGCTCCAAAGATGTTCATCATAGCTGTAAGAAAGACATATAGTCTGGGGATGTGATATTACCCACATGCACCATGCCAGTCTAATCTCTTTCCTTCTCTGATTTTTGTTTGGAAGCTGCCTAAATTGACACTACTGTTGAAAAAAACCTTCCTGCAACATCAGACCAAGCGTTCCTTTACTTTTTCTCAGTTTATCTTGCTATTCCTAAATAAATGTCTCAGAAATATGATGGCATTGCATAGTTAAATGATTAAGAAAATACATTGTAAAGTCACTAATTTAATATATATTTAATATTAATTAAACATTTTTTTTCTACTATCACAAATAAACTGAAATGAGACTATTTACTTGGAAACACTTCCAAAAAATGGCTGCAATGGAGGAAGGTACCTGTTTTTAGTACCAAAATGAAAACAAAGAGCTGTGCATTTAGGATCAAGCCAGAGTCACTGGTGTCTTTATCCAGTCAAGATCATTGGTGGTGCTAAATTATTTGAGTTCTGATACTGCAAACAGTGGGCATGATCGTTCATACTTTGCGGGTGTCATGGTTATGACAATGTGGTCAGAGACTTGTACTATGCATACAACTTTGCACTTTGACTCCAATTAGGATACAGGAGAATGTAAAAGTTGAAAAGTAACTTTTGTTTCTTCATTTACTTGGGTTTTTTACTATTTTCTGTAATATTTCTGTGCTACGACTCATGATCAGTTATTTCTTCTTTCTGGTACTTCTAGAACATAAGTGCATCTGCAAGTGGTGGACAAGTGGCACAGAGCAAAACAGCCCTATTAAAGATATTTTTTCTCATGTGTTTTGTTTAAAATTCATTGCATTAAAATTTGAAAACCATGTGAAATTTGAAAGGTTAACATTGGCATTAATTCAGATTCTGTAGTGCACTGTTACATAATAAACAAATGTATTGTATTATAAGGGAAGTCCCATTTTAACCTGAATTAGCAGTGTCTGTTGGAAAAAGCTGGAAATGTCTTGGATTTGCATGGAATGCTTGCTACTGTTCCTTGTCTCATTTGCTGTTGATACTGCTCTTCCATCTTACAAAGTTCTTTAGGGACTTATTAGAGTTCACTATTTCGACAGGCCTTAAATGCAGAAAAGGAACCCAGACCTGAAACAGTAATCAAAAATTCCATTACATGTGTTATCTTAGGAACGAACTCTTAGTTTGTTACAGAATGTCACCATCAACCACAACAGACTTTAATTAAACACCAAAGAGCTCAGTAAGCATTGACTGAGGAAGTAATACCGTGTGCTCAGCTATTACGTAGTCAGTTATGCCCTTGGGCACAGCCCTCAGTCCTGGCTGATGTGCTTACTCCAATGGTGAAACGTGAAAAATGGTGTTTCATTTTGCATGCAAAAAAAATTGAAATTATTGAATGAAGAGTTGGAAGTAATTAATTTTAAATGCTGTTGAATAAGCATTAAGTCTTAAATTCTGTTCCAAGGAAGGGTTTTGATGTCATGTGTAACCTTGAAATTTATGGTTGAACAAAAGCTAGAAAACATTACTGATTATTAGAACTGGAGCTAGATATGTGAGAAATCAGTTCTAGTGGGAAGAGCTGGGAATGGATTGTTTTTATGTTTGGGAAAGGTCCACTTGAAAAAGTAATTTTATTTGTTTTGTGGATCAAAAGCTGGTTCTTTACATTTTAAACACAAATTACAGATGGCAAAAATATGAATTTGCAGAAGTATTTTTGAGAACAGAGCTAAGTGGGAGGAAATCTGTTAATGAAATCAAACTAATATTAATAAAATGCATAACAAATTTATAAATTTGTTATAAAAATAGATTTTTGGTGGTGGGACAGCTAACTGAATAAATTTTAGAGCAATGTTGAAACAGAAAAAAAAATCTGGTTTTCCAAGAAAGAACAGGAAAAAGATAAAAAGAAAGACAGCTTTCTGTTTTTGAAGTTGCCTCACAAAATACATAGCAATAGAATACAAAAGGCCTCTTTCTAATTGAATTACAAACTGTGTAATAGTTTTAACTGCAACAGCTGGTCTTATGAAGCTACCATATTCCTTGGAGACATGCTCCTTGGATTCTTTTAAGAATCTTACTAGACCAGTTCAACATTGCATTCTAACATTGCATTTGTGCTGAAATAACAAGATGTATAGCTTAACAGCTCAGGCTTTATTAAATAATAACTAAAGTGAAGCACAGCACACGGTGTTTGTCTGTGTCTAACTTGTATTAATTTGTCTCTAGTAACATCCTTCTCCCTGTCTGAGCTCTGGTTTTTTTTTGCTTTAGGCTGTCACATCCTGAAGCAGTCACAGCCTTATTGATAACCCCTTGTTTAATGGGGATTGGAATCACTGGGTAGTTCTGGAATGCTGCTACACAATTTAATTAATAAGTTGATCCTGGGGATACTTACAAGGCTTTCTTCTTGTGGCTGAGGTTTCTCAATACATCCCTGAACTAGGCTGGCAAGGGAAAAAGTAGGGCCTAGGAGGTTTTCTAGGTTTAATGAAGTACCTACAGTCATGAGTAACAGTCTTAAACTTGTACCAGAAAAGTACATTACTCTGCAATTGGTCACATGAGCTTGAATTTAGATTATTTTGAAGGAGATTGCCAGCTGTGCTTTAAAAGCATGTCAAACACTGACAAACTGTCAGCAAAACCCTATGTATCATCCTTTCTTTTTTTGTGTGTGGAAAGTTCATATGGTTTTATATGTGGTTGTTTTGCTTCATTGGTCAACAGCACACCACTAGAAATATCTGTTTCTTTGAAAACGTATGGTGTTTATGTGTTCTTAGAAAAATTTCAGTTGCACTAATCCTAAATGCTTTTTTTCTATTTAAGTTTCCAAAATACTGTTTTTATAGGGTCTTTTTTTGTATAAGCAAAGTAATTGATATTTCTTTCTCAAACATAATGATTTTCATTTGTTTAAGTGGAGATTCCTGTAACATTTAAGCATTGGATTAAGGAAGACTTGCTATAAAGCAAGTGCATATCAGAATGTATAGTTTTATGACACTGGATCCTGTGTCTTTCTAAAGGTATTCCACAAGTGTATAAACTAAAAAATTCTGTTTAGTAAAATACCTATGGCACGTCCGGGGTTTTCTTTCCATTTTTGAATGGTTAATGTGGAGAATTACATTCTGATTCATATTAGATGTGTTTTATTTTGTAAATAGTTTATTTACATCAAAATAATAGCACAAGTTTGCTTTAATAAAGCCCAGGTTAGAGAAATGGGCCTGTTTCTGATATGTGTGGGTACACCACCCCCCCCTAAAATCAAATCTCTGCAGTGCAGATAATCTGCATCCCTTTTACATATTGGTTTATGACAGCTTGAATTGTAATTTTTAAGCATGGTAATTGTTGCAGTACAACACCATAACAGGTATACATGTGGGCAAATAGAGACCCTTGAAGCCTGAATGTGGTCCAGCCTCTGATGTATCTCACATTGTGCCTTGAATAATGGTGACCTGCAGGAAGGAGAAATCTGAGGTGAGGAGGTGCTTTGCTCTGGCTTTGGAAGTCTGTTTCATATGTCTGTTGGTGGGAAACAAAAGCGGGTGCCATCTGCTTTTCTCATGCAACCTAAGAAGACCATCAGACTGCCAGATGCAGCCTTGGTTTGTAGATTAGTGTCCATGACACTTGTACCTCTTGAAAATCTTACTTTGTATATTTTTTAAATTATTACTTCTATACATTTTTTCTCCTTTTTTACAGTATTCTGTAACTTCTCTCAAGACCATCCCAGAATTATGCAGAAGGTGTGATTCACAAAATGAAGACAAATCAGGTATGATGCTGTATAATTTCTGTCCACCCATAATATTCTAGGCTTTGTTTTAATCATGTAAAATTTGGCAACAATAGCTTCTTGGCAGTGTCCTGTTGTTTTGGTTTTTCTCGTTTATGTACAGTTGGAAACATGAGTTAGTTTTTTTTAAACAGATGTTAGTTCATTAGAAGGAAAGAAAGTTCCAAAAAAGGATTTGGCTGTATGCAGATAAATGTAGGGCTTCATCTCAGCAGCTCCAAACCACAGTATGTGCAACAATTTACTTGAAAACCCGAGAAACCATTGGTGACAAGACGTAATAATGTAGGCGCCAATGAAAAAATGTTGGATACATTTACTACCCGTATGGCCATGACTAGTCAGAGGGATGATGTTTTGCCAGAGTCTGAAACTATATCAAGGATGCTACATGATATAATCTACTCTAAGGCATACTGTAACAGTTAAGATTAAAGTCGAGTTTTTTAGTTTAATAGTGTAAACTAAATGAAGAATCATGGCATGCAGATGAGAACCAGCTGGAGATCTTCCCCCTGCCCCCTGACAAAAAGTTCATTCAGCATTGTTTTTCACTATGTAAATCAGATTAATCTGGTTTTATTTTTCTCTTCCTGATGGAGGAGAAATGAATTGGTAAGAGAAGCATTTTTGTTGAGCTATGAAAAGTTTATTGTGCTTTTTTCATCTTTTAATTGAACTTTTGTTAATGTTGTTTCATCAAGTATTTTTATAACAGATACAGGAGATCTGGAATTGATAGGATGATACAAGGACTTAAGAACCATGCTATACTTCAGCAACTTTTATTTCTGTATTTCCTTTCAGACTTAAAAATTTCTGCTGTGTTTAATGTAAGTGGAAACTCTCTGATTGCTACTTCTTCTAACAGAGTTATTAGAGGCCAGGTCACCACATGCCACTGTCCTTGGCAATAAAGAGAAGCAAAGCTCTCCTTACAGTACTTACTTGCATATTGCTTTTACAATTCTTACTTGCCTACATAGAGCACAGCAGTGACTGCAAACATAAGTCTTACTTGTTGCAATCAAGAGCAGGACAGAAGTGTAATGGGTGAAGACTCCTGATCCACCCTCCTCAAATTGCCCTATCTCCTTCTACCCCAGTCTCCCCTCATCCTCCTCCATCCTTCCCTCCATCCTCTCCTGCGTATTCCCCTCTTTCTTCCTATCCTGCCCCTTTAAACCCTTCTATCCTTCCCTTGCCTCATCTCTATCCCTTTTCTTCTGTCTCCTTCCTTTCTTCTTGCTGGTTCTTCCCCCCAGCTCATCCCTTGCATCCTGCCATCTTCCCCGTTTGTTACATTTCCTTGCCACTTTGTTCCCATCTCCTTCCCTTCCTAGCCATTCTTACTCCCACTCTCCCTGTTTTCCTACTGTCACACCATTGCTCCACACTGTTCTTCTCCCACTCTTCTCTCATTCCTCCTGCTGCCTTCTCTCCTCCTTTCCTCTTTTTACTCACTTCTTCCCTGTTTGCTCATCCTACTTCCCTGCTATTCTCCATAGCATTTAGTCCCTCATTGCTCCCCACATACTCCCACCATTCTCTCCCATATTCTTCCTCCCATTCTTTCTCCATTTAAAATTCACGTAGTAGTCATAAAGTAAAATGTAGCCCAATAGTAAGGATGAAATACTGGTTATGAGGTCTTCATTTAGATTGTGGGATGTTGACAGCATACTGTGTATCTCTCTTGTTCCATGGTTGCCTCTGCATCTGCCTCTGCAGATGGACATTTTTATTATGATTTTAATTACATCAGTACTCATCTATTCCCTTAAAAAGGGGTTAACAGAAGCAAATACATGGATTGCTGAAAGACAATAATATCTCTGGGGAGTCTACCAGTATAAGTCTTGAGTAAAAAAAGGTCTTTTGCACTGATAGTAGTATTGGCAAAGTGGAAACAGTACTGAAAGCTGGGTTTTCTTGCTACTTACCACTTACTTTGGTGAATAGGAGATAGTTCTGAAATCTTTTTATTTTTACCCTGTTTATTTACTGAGTAATAATACAGTGCTGAAGAGGAGTGTATCACTTTACATGTCTGTACAGACTTCAGTATCTCAAGTATCTTGAAATATCAACAGAGCTAGATTAGTCAACTAATAACTATAAGGCTCCATTTGATAAATTTTCACAGTTGCTTTTGAGAAGTCTTTTTCTTCTCTATATTGTAGATCATTAAAATAATGTTGCCAAAGTATTGATAATGAGTGCTATTTTTTTATGAAAATAGATTACATAATAAAGCTTTCATACTATAACATGAAGCATTCATACTAATTTATATCTGCATTCCACTGTTCATTCAAGTAGTTAGTAAAAGAAAAACTCAGAGGTTTTACGAAGTGCTGATGCAGCTTTTTACCTCATACTGATTCCTGCTTAGTTACAGGTTGCATTTCTCCTTTAAAACAGAGAGGACTATGAAAGTAGCTATCCAATAATTCCTTTTTCAAAAAAGCTGAAAGTTAAGCAAATGTTGCCCATAGATAAGACATGTCATAATCTAAAAAGCAATTGTCTGTCATCTTTGTCTCAGGAAAATATTTAGATCACCAATACAGTTAAGACAAAAATGTGGAGAAAGTAAGATTAGAATTTATGCTTGAAAAAATAATTATGTATATACATGTATACATATATACATATATACATATATGCATATATACATATATATATATATATATATATATATATATATGCAAATATTTTCACCAGCAGGTTTGTTAGAACAGATATAAACCAGACCAGTTTATTGTTATGGAATTATATTTCTTAACTATATGGCTAATAATATGGAAGTGTTACTATTCATTGTTTGCAGATAAGTTTGGTAAATAGGCCTGTCATTCCAATTTTCTTTCCCCCTTTCATGTAAACATTGAATAATAAGTTAGTAACATATGAAAGTATTTGGTTACATTGTTTTCAAATTACTCCAAGTGCTTTTAATCCTAGGCAAGTACTGTTGTTTAGAAGTTAGTGTGTCTTCTCAAGCATTTAACATAATTCCTTCAGAAGACTTTTTGAGTTTTTTTAGCTATTTCTGATGGCTTGTAACTTTTGCTCAGATTACTTGTTCTTTTGGAAAGGGAGGTATTAGAAAGTTTTCCCAATGTGTAGCTTTTCCTCCTTGAAATGCCACCATCGCCTCCCTTTATTGGAGACCACTGGCAGGTGGAGTGTATTGTTTGGTATGTCCTGTTCCTCCTCTCTCTTCTGCAAGAGGTGCATGACAGCCATGAAGCAGCTCAGTCTCCACCCTGACTCAGAATCAAAAAATCACAGAATATTCTGAGTTGGAAGGTACCACAAGGACCAAAGGCCAACTCCTGTCCCTGCACAGGACACCCCAAGAGTCACCCCATGTGCCTGAGAGCATTGCCCAAACAGTTCTTGAATTCTGTCAGGTTAGTGCTGTGACCACTTCTCTGGAGAATCTCTTCAGTGCCCAAATGCCCTCTGGGTGAAGAACCTTTCCCTGATATCAAACCTAAACCTCCCCTGGCAGAGTTTCATGCCATTCTCCTGAGTCCTGTCACTGGTCACCACAGAGAAGAGAGCAGTGCCTGCCTCTCTGCTTCCCCTCAGAAGGGAACTGCAGAACTAAAATGAAGTCTTCCCTCAGTCTCCTCCAGGCTGAGCAGACCAAGTGACCTCAGCCACTCCGCACACGGCTTTCTCTCAAGGCCCTTCACCATCCTCATGGCCCTCCTCTGGACACTCTCTAACAGCTCAATGTCTTTTTTGTGTTGTGGTACCCAAAACTGCCCCCAGCACTCGAGGTGAGGCTGCCCAAGTGCAGGGCAGAGCAGAGGGGACAATCCCCTCCCTTGCCCAGCTGGTGATGCTGTGCCTGATGCCCCCCAGGACAGGGTTGGCCCTCCTGGCTGCCAGGGCACTGCTGACCCATGTTCAACTTGCCACTCACCAGGAACCCCAGGTCCCTTTTCACAGCTCTGCTCTCCAGTCTCTCATTCTCCATTCTGTCTGTTCACCCAGGGTTATCTCATCCCAGGAGCAGAATGTGTCACTTTCCCTTCTTAAGCTTCATACAGCTGGTGATTGCCCAGGCCTCTAATTTGTCGAGGTCTCTCTGTAGGGCCTCTCTGTCTTCCGAGGGAGTAACCAGCTCCTCCTAATTTTGTGTCATCTGTAAATTTCCTTAGTATTCATTCAAGTCCTGCATCCAAGTCCCTTATGACTTTTCTGAGTCCTTCTTGGATAGGGAATTCTGACTCAGGAAAGTTTCAAGGGATCCTTGGAGCCGAAGTATTCCCAGTACTTGTGCCAGTACCCCCAGATTACAAGGGGAAGGAGATACTGAATTGGCAAAAAATTGCAGGGAAAGTAATGGTTTGTCCACAGTAAAGGGTGATTAAGGGTAATTGTTTTTTCTACAATTATGCATCAAGATAATGATCATTTAGGTAGCATTATAGCCACTAAGATGGACATTATCTCAGCTGTTAGAGCAAGATGATAATTAACTCCAAGACTGTGGGTTTAAGCCCTGTACAGGGCATTTGCTTAAGAACTGGACTCAGTGATCCATGTGGATCCCTTCCAACTCAGAATATTCTGTTATTCTGTAATTTTTTTGTTCTGTGATTCTGTAATTTTTTTATCTTCAAAGATAGAAAATTAAAGAGTGTGGTTTAGAAATGGACCAAGCTAGCACATTTTTCCTGAAATGAAGTGTTAACCAAAGTGCCTATGGATTTCCAGCATTGTTTAATATAGACTGATAAACTGAAATAGCAATCAGTCCTTTATGTTATTATGCATGAAATTTGTTGCATTCTTCCTGGGCAAATTTTCTAAGGACACTTGAACAAATGGTTCAAGACAACAATGTTCAACAAGCTTCACTGAACCATGTCATTGTGGAAGTATATTCTGTCATCTGTGACAACTTTCAGTTGTCATTAAATGACTGTTTCAAATGAAGGCAATATACTAGTTTAGAT